CCAGGCCTTGGGGGTGTTTCCAGCCACGTGCTCCCTGCCCCACCCCGGGGCGGGGTCCTTACCATGCCGCTGTTGTTGAGACGTAGGCAGGAGCCAAAGTCGGCCAGGCGGATGTGCCCGTTCATGTCCAGGAGGATATTGTCCGGCTTGACATCCCTGGGGGAGGCAGGGAGAGTGAGGGGCCTGACCTGTGTGTGTGGCTGGGTGTGTGCACGGGCACGCGTGTGTATGCTCACAGGTGCTCCTGCATGCGGCATGTGGGACGGGTGAAGGCTGGTGGCCAGGCCTCCTAGCCCCCAGGAAGGAGGAAGGTGGCTAGCCTGGGGAAAGGGATCCGTAAGGACGACCCTCAGAGGCAGCAGAGTATACTGTGGGGGACACAGGAGCAAACCACAGCTTGGCCACCCACCAGCTGAGTCACCTGGAACCAGGCAGGTGCTCACCTGTGCTAAGCCCTGACTTGCTCATCTATCAGATGGAACAATGAGCAGCCCCATCACATAAAGTTTTTGGTGTGAGTGTTCAGAGGCATCAAGCAGGTGAAGCACCCAGCACGGGGCTCGGCACGTGGTGAGTGCTCGGCAAACGGCAGCTGTCCCCAGAGTTGTCGGCAGGGACTGGAGAGGGCGCGGGGGCTTTGCGGGCCCCACCTGTGGACGTAACCCAGCTGGTGCAGAGAGTGGATGGCCAGCACCATCTCAGCCAGGTAGAACTGGGCCAGCTCGGGCGGCAGGCGGTCCTCAAAGCGGCTCAGCAGAGTGAGGAGGTCCCCGCCGGCGTAGTAGTCCATCACCAGGTACTGGATGGTGGTGGGGAGGGCAAGAATCAGATGGAGAAAGGGACACCTGCCCCAGGACCCCACCTCCCAGTGGCCCCGTGGGAGGCAGGGCTATGGCTCCCACCAGCTCTGGGGCGGCCAGCTCCCAGGCAGGACTCCGGCAGAGGGTCCAGGCCCTGGAGCTGGTTGGGAGGGGAAGCCTGCTGGTCCCAGTAAGAGGGACCGCTCTCCCCTTGGGCCCAGTGCCTCTGGACCCCAAGGGCCTTCTCCTTTGTCCCCAGGCAACCCCCTCCAACCTGGCCCGGGGTCCTCACCAGGTACTCCTCGTCTTGGAAGGCGTAATGCAGAGCCGTCACCCACCGGCTGTCCCCCTTCACCAGAACGTCCCGCTCCTCCCGGAAACAGGCTGTCTATAGCAGGTTTGGGGGGCGGGATGGGGTGGGATCAGAGTCCAGGAAAGCCCCACGCCAGCTCAGGGGATGGAGTAAAACTCAGGAAGTCTAGGAGCTCAGATTAAGGTCTCTGTATGGGCCAGAGCCCACGCTTTATGGCTCTGGGCCTCAGTGTTATCATAAGGGAAGTGGGAACAACTCCACTTGCTTCCAAGGAAGGTTTCTAGTGAGGAAGGGATGGGGGAGTCGGCAGCTGTTGGGGGTGGATCCTCTGCCTGTTGGGCAGCCACACCACCTCTTCGCCTGCACGCCCTGTATGCCAGCACCCTCTTGCCCTCCCCCCTCCCCCGTGTTTAGGGTGCCGAAGTCTCACCAGACTCCAAACTGACCTCGGCCCTCTTCAGCATCTCCCATTTGTGCAGCATTTTCATGGCAAAAATCTGCCCACTGTCCCTCTGCCTCACCACGGCGACCTGAGGCCACAGAGAGCACTGGGCTCAGTGCTGTGGGGGCACACACCCTCCTCCCGCCCCCCCAGGCCCTCTGCTCACCTCCCCGAAGGCGCCTCGGCCGATCACCTTCAAGATCTCAAAGTCATCTCTCTGCAGCCGCAGCTCCTTCACTTTTGTGACGAAGGGGCTGGCTGAGGGGACAGAGAGCGGGGCTCAGGGAACCTTGGGGGAGGGCCCAGGTCCCTCTCTCACCTGGGGACAGCCAGGAGCTATAACTCCTATGAGGCCAGGGCAAGGATGACCTCCCCAGGACAACCTCCGGCTAAGGGGTCGAGAGGGGCTGCAGCCCATTCAGCCATGAGCAGGATGCACGCAAGGTGGGGTCCTGACTCTGCTGACTACCTGGCCCTGAGACCTCCCTGAATCCTTGGACCTCTGCCCCCAGACTCCAGGCAGCCTGGGTCCCAGGGACTGATGGGACTTGTAGTCCTCCCCAGCTTGGGGGCTGCCCCTGACCAGCCAGGTCACCCAGGGCAGGTGGGGATACCATTCCCACCCCCAGCTCACAGTTCTTAGCCACCTAGCAAGACCAGGCCAGAGCCTGTCTTGGGAAACTGGACAGGCAACATTCCTTGTCCCCAGAGAGGCTTCTCTGCCACTGAGGAGCTGTGGCCCAGTCCTGGGCCCCTGTAGGCACCGGGGTACCTTGGTTGGGGTGAGGCCTGGGGGAGCCCAGAGGACAGGTAGGACAGGGTCTCCCCATGTGGGGCCTCCTCGTTGGCAGGCACAGATAGGTCTGCCCAGATCCTCACAAGACTCAAATGCAGGGCCAAAACCTCTCCGCGGCTCCTGACGCTGGCACTGGAAGATGCGAGCACTCAGGACCTCCTCCGGGCCTGACCAGCCCTTGAGCCCGCCTCCCTCTCTGGACTTGGCCTTCACCTGGCCAGGATCCTCCTCCTTCCTGCAGTCCCTGATACTCCCACACGGGGCATCTTCAGCCACGCCCAGGCCCTCTCCAGGCCGGAGGTGGGACTGGGGCCTAGAAACTGAGGGAGGCCAAGAGTGACCAGTAGGGGTTGGGGTCAGCTGCAGTCTGACTCCCTGCCTCAGTTTCCCCTGCCAGGCGGTAAACGCCCTGCCAGCTGGGCGGGTGTGTGGGTGGGACAGAGAGCTGCTCCACAGGTTTATCAGGCAGAACCCCCGCAGCAGGGGTGGAAACCTCATTACAGAAATTAATTGTCTCTTTCCCAGGTCTGTGTGTGCAGCTGAGAGGAGCAGCCACAGGCCTCCAAGGGGGAGCCGAGGCCAGGACGGCTACCCATCAGCCAGACAGGGGCCCAAACCAGGGGCCCAGAGACAGGAGGATCAGGTCCCCAGGACAGGCTGCCCAGTCCCCTGGCCCTGCCCCAGGGGATGGGGGCTCCAGGCAGGATTGGGGACAAGTTGGGGCAGGAGCAGAGTGAGTCACCACCCTGCAAGTTACCTCGGGCGATGTCAACAGGCCCCCACACTGGGGTCCCAGGCAGAGGTGCCAGAGGCAGGCAGGGAGGAGCACATGTGTGTGCAAACACACACACGTGGGTGTGGCGTCACAGGGGGTGATGACAACACAGTGAGACACAAGCATCAGGTGCAGGAGTCCGGGGAGAGGAGAAGGCAGCAAGGAGATGGAGGACTGAGGAAAGGGCTGCGGGCTGGGGACCACTCAGTGGCACGTCTCAGGCTCCCAACTGGGCCAGGCTGGGCCCTGTGCCTGCCCAGAGCTCAGGAGTGCCTGCACACTAGTTGCCCACTGGGCAAACACCCGCTTCACCGCACCCTCCCTCCAGGCCAGGCCCCATGCCCTACCCCCATGGCCTGGCTGGCACCAGTGCTCACAGTGAATTCAGGGTCACCCCGGGCCAGCCACTCCCGGTGACTCAGATGAGTCAACCAGGAAGGGGCACAGATCCACCTCCAGCCAGGCCTCCCTCCCTGGCCCTGGGGAAAAGCCCTCAGGAAACCTGGCCAGCGGCTTGGACAAAGGGGCTGAGGTTGGTGTCCAGTCCAGACGCGGGTGGTCTTAGATGCAGGGAGATGGGAGTGCGTGTGGGGGGGCCTGTGACACCCACAGACTGTGCGTCGAAGCAGGTGTCTCTCCACCAGCTGAATACGAGCGTCTCAGTGAGGCCGTGTGGGGTGCGGGAGCCTGAGAACGCATGTGTGCCAGCGGGTGGCATGCACGGAGGGTGCGTGTGGGTCTGTGTTCTCACAGGTCATGCGGTGCGATGCGTGAGGAAGGGATTCTGGACGTGACTCTGTCGAGCGTGTATTGCACCTGTGTCTGGGTCTAACCTGGGACCACGTTTCTTTGCGTCTGTCCATGTGAGATGAGTGTCGTGTGCATGTCCCAGGGTCTGTGAGTGGAAAGGAGTGTGAATCTGAGTGACGGTAAGGTGTGCAGGTGACTAAGAGGCCCGCGGGTCCGCTGTCAGGCCAGTGCCCAGCGGCTGCCGTGGGGAGGGGGGCGGTGGGCGCGCGGCTCCCGGTGGGAGGGGCTGTGGGCGGGCAGCGCGGAGGGAGAGGGTCCTGAGGCGGAGTCCCGCGTCCACCCTCCGCGGTCCCGCCCGAGTCACTCACCCCAGCTCAGGAACTGCGCCACGTTGCGCTCTCGCCGCAGGGGGGCGCTGCTGAGCTCGTGGTGCAGCCCCAGCAGCAGATCCAAGAGGCCGTCGAGGCCCGGGCCGCCGCCGGCCTCGCCCCGCGCCAGCCGCTCCAGCGCACGCAGCCGCCGCTCCATGGCTGCGGCCGAGGCTCCGGCCCGGGCTAGAGCCGGGCCGCCCGCATGTCCGCCGTCGGTCGGTCCGCCTGTCCGTCCTCGGATCTTCGGCGCGTTCTCCCCCCCACCCTCCCGCCCTCCCTGCTGTCACCTTCCTTCCGAGGCCTCCAGCGCGCCCTCACCTGGGCGGCCCGCCCCCGCCCTTCCGCCCCGCCCCCCGACGGGCAGGTGCGCGCCGGCCAATGGGAGATCCGACAGTAGGGTGAAGGTGGGAGGGCGGAGGCGAGCGGGGGCGGAGCCAATCCCGGCCAGGAAGTGGGGGGGCGGGCCCGAGCGCCACGAACTCCTGGGCAGGGCGGGGCCAGGCGGGGGTCTCTGGGGGCCGGGAAAGCCGGCTAGACCCCTGCGCGGCCCTAGACCCAGCCTGACCTGGGCCCTCGCCCACCCCCCACCAGGTGGGGATGCCCGGGGTTCGGCAGCTCCCCTCGGCTGGCGGGGCAGCGGCCGCCTCTTTCTCAGCTTAGGGAGAGGGGCTCGGGACGCCCGCGGCCCCGGAGCCGGATGGGAGTTGTAGTCCGCTCCCTTCCCGGGATGTCCCCCTTCAAAAAACTCGCCAGTTTCTGCTTTCATTTTATTCGTATCGTTACAGCCACCTGGGAGACAGGTGTGTGAGGCAGGAATGGTCACACCCATTTGGCAGATGGACACACTGAGACTTGGGAAGGACAAAATGAATTGAGAGGCCGAGGATGAGGGGACCCTTAGCTAAACCCTGCAGTGGGGCTGAGCCGGCGGCCCCCCCATAGGCTCTGGGGTGTGTGTGTGTGTGTGTGTGTGTGTGTACTTTTATTAAAGCCGGCGACTGGGAAACAAGGGCTTAGCACAGAAGCAGCAACAGGAAGGCCTAGCAGGGCTGCTTTGGCTCACTGAGAAGCCAGCGAAAAGGGAGCCTTGGGGCCAGGTTCAGGGAGTTAGCAAGAGACAAGCTGCCGCTGGCCATTGCTTCCCTGATGGCAAGTCTCCGGGGGTCCTTAGAGTTTAGGAGATGCACGCCTGGGGGGAGGGGGGGAGAGCAGGCCACCACAGGCTCTCAAAGCCCTGGGCGGGGCAGGGCCTTCGCCGGCCTGGAACTTAAAGGCCAAGAAGTCTGACCGGGGCTGGAGGTCAGGAGAGGGCGGGGTTGGCTTATCCAGTGGCATTTCTGACTTCTGTCCAGCTGTCTCCAGCTGGGCTGGACCAGAAACCACAGGACGGTGGGTCTGTCCAAGAGGAGGGATCGAAGGGTGGGGTTTTTAGCGGCTTTAGATAACAAATTCTTCTATTAAAAAAGATCTTTTGGGCGGGTTTGCCTCCTCCCTCAGGCGGGGAGACCTTCTGGAGTCTTCTGGGTCCGGTTGCGAGCCTTGAGGGAGGAGGCACTCTGACGTCCTTGGAGCTGAAGCAGCATCCCTAGCAGCCCGGGGCTTCCCCACAGGTCTCTCCCATTTGATCTCCTCCGAGACCTGTCCCTGGGGGAACCAAGACATACAGGCTCTCTCCTACCCAAGCCAGGTGGGGGAAGGGAGCCAGGATTTACTACTATTATAATTATTATTAATTATTATTGCCAAGATTTAAATTTCAATGGCCTGTGTCTTCTGGGAGGGGGGCTGGGATTGTGTGGTTGAGCCCTCCGGGTTCTCACCTGTAGCATTCTGGGTCCTCCTTTTGGGGGCGGGGCCCACGGTAGGGTTTATGCCCTGGGAGGCCACAGGGGGGTGCCAGAGACCAGAGGAGGGCCAGGTGCTCCGGACCAGCCCAAGTTCCCATCTTCTGGGGAGTTATAGGGTAGGGAAAGGCTCCTGGGTAGGAAAACGGACCACTCCTCATTGCCCTTCTTGGACACTCTGATCCCCAAACCCACTCCAACCCAGCCCCCAGGATCAGCAGTCAAGGACCAGCTGGGGGGGCCTCTGGGTCCTGGCTGACTCCCTGTGTGACCTCGGGCAAGTTTCTTAGCTTCTCTGAATGCTGAATTTTCGGACAGGCCCCTCTCTGGACCTGCAGAGGGGAAACAGACAAAAACTGAGACCCACCGGTGTCTACGCGGGGCAGTCCATCTGGTACTGGATTCCCTTGGTCCCGTATTCCTTTTGTCACATCCTGTTCCAAGCCTCAGTTTCCTTGTCTGTAAAAGGGGGTTGGCTCGCTGCTCCTTTGCAGCTCAAGGTCAGAAAACCCCTCAAGACTCAGTCTGTACCTGAACCCCTACTCCAGACTCCACAAGCAGCCAGTCCCCCAGCCCCGCCATCAGAAGCAGCTCCTGCACTGGGCCCTGCTTTGCCCCAGCAGATCTGTTTTCTAATCTTGTGTGAGCCAGACCACCAGGGCTGCACAGGCCTCACCCCAGGGAGCAGGGTCTGCATGTGGCAAAGACCCTGGCCCAGTGAGTCTGAGCAGAAGACCTTCCCATCGCCTCCTCATTCACACTCCCTGGTCACTGCTTCCGGAGGCCCACCAGGTGCAGGGGCGCCTGTCCTCCCATACCTCTCCCCCTTCCCAGCCCCTTTGGTATTGAGGTGTTGGCACTAGCTCTAGGGAGCCCTGGGGATAGCAGATCATGGTAATTACATCTTCATTCCTGTGGTCCTTAGTATTTCAAAGCTAAGATCTGCTATCTTCACAAGGGCCCTCCCATAACAGATTAATACCTTGAGGCTGGGGAGGTGGGTGGTGCCAGCCTTGAGCTTCTCCTGGTTCCAGGCCGAGGCTAGTGCCTGGCAGCAGAAGGTCAGTCTGTGTCCCCAGACGCTGAGGACAGGGGACAGGAAAGGCCAGAGGGCGGTGGACTTGATGTAGGCCTCTGGGAAGGGCCTTGATGACGAGAAAAAGAAACTGTCAGGCCCTGTCTGGTGTGCTCAGAGTGTTGGCCCGTGTACCGAAAGGTCGAGGGTCGATTCCCGGTCAAGGGCACGTACCTGGGTTGCAGGCCTGATCCCTGGCCCTGCTCAGGAGAGAGTGGGAGGCAACCAATCAAAGTGTCTCACATGGATGTTTCTCTCTCCCCTTCCCTCCCTCTCTTCTACTCTCTAAAAATCAATGGAAAATATATCCTCCGGTATATTTCTGAGGCGAGCAGAAAGAAAATGGTGGTTCACATAAGGGGGCTGCCACAGAGGGGGAGGTGAAGCCCAGAGCAGGGGAGTGGCCGGGAACCCAGGCCTTCTGAACCCCAGAGCATAGGTCCCTGAGCCTGGGAGTGGCCCAGACACAGGCAGCCTCGGGGTCTGTCCCAGCCACCTCTTGGGCTCCTGAGCGGCCTATGGGGCTCCCTTCAGTGGCTGGGGGCGAGCCTCTCCCAGCCCGGCCTCAGGAAGCCACTCTCAGCAGATGGGCCTGCAGGGCCACTTGCATTGGCCCGCTGCCCTGGCCCTGGGCCCCACCGGAAGCACAGTGCCCCACCCCTGCCCCAGAGAGCCAGGGACCAAAGGGAGGCTGGCTGGGGGTCAGACTGTTGACCAGGCCTGTGGCCGTGGGCAAGTCGTTTCCCCTCTCTCTGGGCTGCTGTCCGTTCACAGTGGAGAACTGCCCCAGCTCAGGTGTGAGGGGCAAGTGGTACACGGGGTGGCCACCAGTGGTCGCGGGAAAGGGTCCTCATCCCGCGACCCTTTCATACAGTTCCTCATGTTGTGGTGACCCCCAACCATAAAATTATTTTCGTTGCTACTTCCTAACTGTAATTTTGCTATTGTTATGAATCGTAATGTAAATATCTGATATGCAGGATGTCTTTTCATTGTTACAAATTGAACATAATTAAAGCATAGTGATTAATCACAAAAACAGTATGTAATTATATGTGTTTTCCGATGGTCTTAGGCGACTCCTGTGAAAGGGTCGTTCGACCCCCAGGTTGAGAACCGCTGGTCTAGGAAGAGTGTGGTTGGAGGGTGGGAGCTGCATTGCCGCTCAGGCTCCACGTTTTATCTAAACGTGTGTCTATGTGGGGGAGAGGCTGATGGAAAGGGTGATGTTGAGGGTCCCCACTCCCCAAGCTAGTCCTTGGCAGCCCTGCACTCCTCCTCCCCCGCCCACCCCAGCACACCAGGGTGTGTCCTTTGAAAAGTCCAAAGCTCCAAATGGGTGGACAGATGGTGATTTCATCATCCTGGCTTTTCTTCCAGAAACCTTCTGTGCTGCTCCAACACACCATAGGGGCTCCCACGCTCCACGGAGGCTGCAGGCCATGTGGTTTTATAATCAGCAAACCTTCTGGGCGCACAGGAAGCCAGGCCTGAGCCCCATCGGCCACCACCCCTCTGGCCCATGGGCGCCACCGAGTCTGTGAGCTGCTTTAGGGAAGGGTGGGTCCTACCTGCTTTGTTCTGGGAGTTGGGTGGGGCGCTGGGCTCCCTGCACCGACCCTTAACCCCCCCCCCCCGGCCCCCCAAATGCACTGGGTGCTGAGCAAAGGTGGCCACCCTAGGGGCCCTGCCTCTGAAGCAGGAGCTTCTGTTTGCGTTTTGCGAGCGAGGAATCAGGCTCAGAAGGGAAGACAAGTCTCAGGGAGTGAGCGGCGGAGCTGGGATCCCCGGCCTGTCTGCCTGAGAACCGCCCTCTGTGTGCTTTGGATGGAGGGGCAGAACTGGTGGCTGGGTGTCCTGACCCTGTCAAGCCTGGTGGCCTTGGGCGAATTCTGTGACCGCCTCTTTGAGATGAGAACAGGACAAGGGGTCCACTTCATGGTAACATTTTTGACGGCAGAAGTGACTGTTTTGAGATCTCACATGAAGGGCTCCCGTGTGGGGCCCGGAGCAGTGGGTGCGCCCCCTTGCTTCCTGCATTGTGGGTTCTGAGGTGCCACGTGGGCAGATGGCCCCAAAGGCCTCTTACTGCAGGAGCTCTGGGTGCGGGTAGAATCAGCTCTCCTGTACCCGAGCAGCTCTGAAGGGGGCCTTTCACCCCGGGTCCTGGCCTGCTAGGGAGCTGGGGACGAGGTGAGGGGCAGATGCTGCCCTCCGAGGGGTGGCCACTCCTTTGTCCACACACTGGCCCCCCCCTGAACTTCCATCACAGCCTGAGAAGACCCCCAATCTGTAAAACTCAAACCAGGGGCCTGAGCTCCAGGCCAGCAGGGGTGCAGCCACCTGCCCTTGGCCCTGTAAGTCTCAGATCAACCGCCACTTCCTGGAGCAGCCTTAGGGGTTCACCCTGCCTCCGCGTGCTGGGGGAGGGTGCTGAGTGTGGGGTGCACAGGAAAGCCGAGGTGGCGGGCTCAGTGGAGGGGGCAGAGCGGCCAGGCAGCGCTTCTCTCTCACTCCGCGTTCTTTTTGTGCTCCAGCTTGAGCGAGCCAGCTGCACCTCCTGGGTGACCCTGCAGACTGAGGGGCTGTGCCAAGCCTCCCGGGCCCCAGCTGCAGTGGTAGCACTTAATCTCTTTAATCTTCCATGTGGGTTTCTCAAATCTGAGTCCGTAGCTTAGAATTGGGGGGGGGGGGGTGAGCTGCAGGCTTTGTTTTTCCTTTGAAAAGGGTACTTTGGATTACAGGCTGGTGGGCATTTGGATTACACACCTGGAGTCGGGCACACCAGGTCTGAATCACCCTATACAGCTGCCCGCCTGAGTCTGGCTGTGCAATGGGGGAAAACACCGACCTCCCATCATGACGGCCAAGGTAACCCCGGTACAAGGCAAACCGCCTGAGTGGTGCCAGGCTGGCGATCAGATACTGGTGGTCAGACCAGACACCCAAGCCGGCTGGTAAGCACAACCTGCTGGCAGGACCGTGGGCACCTGTTCACATCCTGTCTTTTGCCACAAGTGAGCCTGGCGCGCTCCACCCTGATTACACGTCTGAGGCCTGCATGGTGCATCAGCTCCCAATTTGTCTCCTTCCCTGGGCTGGTACAAGCAGTTCCCGCCCCCTCCCCTCCACCCCCCCATCTGAGGCATGGCCGGCCCCACCCTTAGTAATTGTATTTTTGTTGCTGGTCTGAGTACCAGCTTCACTGTATCTCAACCCCACCCCCACCCCCACCCCCACCCCCGGGCCTAGCACAAAGTCCAGTCAACCATTGTCTACTTGATCCCTCCCAGTGCCCAGAGCCCCATGGGCGCCCACCTGTCTGCCCATGTCCAGGGCGGGCCCAGGTTGGGGGAGATGCTGTGAAGATCATACAAGGCAGGTACCTTCTCCCCAGCCCCAGGGCAGGCAGCCTAGTTCTGTCATCAGAGATTCTCCCAGCTTCACCCCATCCTCTCCTAAAATAAACCCCTGCTCAGCCCCCACCGAGCACAAGGAAAGGGGTCATCAGCCCTGTCTGCGGGCGTCTATTAAGAGGTAGTAGCTGCCAGAGCTGAGCGTGACTGCGCCTGGGCCCCACCCTGGCAGGCTTGCCAATCTGTCCCTGCCCTGCCAGTGCCCCAGCAGGCACCGTGGGGAGCAGGCCCCTGGGGGAGAACGCAGCACCAGAAGCCAGCTTCAGCACAAACTTCTTTAATTCAAGAAAGTCTTGTCTTAGTTGCTTTTCTTCCCACAGGTGAGCGTGGAAAAGCCATTGCATCGGAAACAGTGAATTCTCAACAATGCACCTTCACCCTCACCTAATACCGCACGGAATGGTGGCCGAGGCCGGCTGGACGTAACCAGGCCAGTTCCTGGCCACTGGGACTCAGCAGACGGACGCCTGGAGAGCAGCACTGGGAGGGTGGGTGGGGCTGGAGAAGTCGGAGTGCAGGAGTCCCTGAGACCCCGTGGGAGTGATGGCGGCTGCAGGCCGCGGAGCCAGCAGTATGTCCAGGCCCCGAGCCGCTTAGACAGCCCGGCCGAGGCAGAGCCGTGAGGCGGCCTGAGCTGGCCACTCGCTGCCTGTTTATTCACAGCCTGGGGAAGGGGTTGCTCTAAGGGCATCCCACCTTCCTTTGCTCAAGGGGCTGGGTTATCCCTGGTCTCTGGCCACTAGGCCGGGGCTAGAGCACCAAACCATGCCAAGTTCATGAGGACCTAGCACCCACCCAAGGGTGGGGCAGGGAGGTGCACCGGAATGTCCAGGGAGTGAGAGGGTGCCGCAGAGAACACCTCTCGGGTCCCCGGCGGGGGAGCTCTGCACACACCATGTCTCATGGCTCCCGGGTAGAGCTGCCCCTGGTTAGAGTGGGAGAGGAGACAAGAATCACAGCTTCTGAACGAGTGGTTGGGAAGTTACTGGAAAACCCAGTCAAGTATAAGAGGTGTTACTTTTCCGGAACCAACACTAGCTTATGTATCTTCTGGAAGATGTTTTCTTTCACACCCACCCACCCCTCTGATCCCCCAAAGGCAGCTGGGCCTTGCTTCGGTGACTGCCACGCAAGGGGCGGGAGGCTAGGAGAGCAAAGAGCAGGGCTGTGCGCAGGGGGCTGAGAGGTGGCAAAAGGCACAAGAACCAAGTCCGGGACATGGGGAGGAGGCCACTGGCCCCAAGAAGCTGCGCTCAGCTTCGGAATAACCCAGATCCAGCCATTCCTGTCTACACAGGCCCCAGCCCGGCAGCTGCCAGGAGGGGTGCGCTGGGAGTGGTTGTGGGCGCTGAGTGCTGCACAGCCAGAGCGGGAGGCAAGGGGGGAGGCCAGCGGTGTGCGTGAAGGCATGGGGCTGTCAGACGGAGGAGGAGGCAAGAAAGAAGGCCGCCTCTAACGTTATATATTAAAAATATCCATAGTTCTTGTGCATAAAATTCCATCATTCACATACGAGCATCACCCTGCCTCCCCTGCTGGGCCCAGGAACAGCCTTTGAAAGAAAGATGGTGGTTTTCCTTTTCAAGAGCTGAGGAGACAGCCACTCAGTCTTTATGGACCTTGAGAACCGGTGACCCTCCCCTCCCCCCGTCTCTGCTGGCTGGTCACTCGAGCCTCCGCTTGGAGGGTGGGATCAGGTGCGGGGGGAGATCGGTGGGCAGCTCATGGCCCTCCAGCTTGACTTTGATGAGGTGGTTGGCCAGGGCAAACTCCTCGTCGTCCAGCAGCCCGTCCTTGTCCACATCGGCCAGCTTCCAGATCTTCCCCAGCACCGTATTGGGCAGCTTGGACTTCACCATCTCCTTCTTGGCGTTGGCGCCCGTGATCTTGCCATTGACGGGCGACAGTGTGTAGAAGATCTCGTCATAGGTGGGCTTGTCCTTGCCTACCACCCACTCGATGTCATCTATGCCTTCCCCGGCCCCCTCGCCGTAGCCGTGCCCGAAGGGCCCATTCATGGTGCCTTCGAAGGCACCGCCCTTGACGACCTGCGAGGGCATCTGGGACTCCTCCTGGCGCACCATCACCATCAGCCGGGCGATGTCATTGGTCAGCATGTCGTCCACTGTGTCCAGCAGCTTGGGCTTCAAGGCCTGGAACTTGGTGAAGTCTTGGGTCTGCAGGAGTTCCTGTGGTGGGCGGGGAGGAAGGAGAAGGGTGGGTTGGGCCCTCCCAGGCTCCAGATGGAGTGGGCAAAGCAAGGGTTCCCAAGAGAAAGCGGGAACCACGTCACAGCTCAGGCAACTCGGTTAACCCCACTGGGCCCTGGCTCCCCAATTTGTAACCTGGAAGGTAAAAAGAGTCCCTTCCTGGCAGGGCTATGGAGAGAATGAACTGGGATGAGGCCAGAGTGCCTGGCC